ATATATATATATAATTTATATATATATAATTTATATATATATATATATATATATATATAATTTTTCAAAATTCATACTAAATATGAATTAATATTGTAAGTATATATATATATATATATATTTATATATATATATATTTATATATATATATATATATATATATATATATATATATATATATATATAAATGTGTGTGTGTGATAACCAGGAGTACATTATATATAGCGTTTTAACAAATAGGAAATTTATTAAAATATTTACTTATCATCCATCCCTCATTTTCGCTGAGATTAAAATCCCCCCTCCCCTCATTTTTGCTGAGATTAAAATGTGTTTTGGGAATATGTGGGGTCTTTTCTTATATTCTTATTCATACACACTCTACGCGAAATATTAATAATGGAAAACTTATTGTACCATCATCTAAAACTCAAAAGTATGGTAAGAATTCTGTTTTGTATCAGTGCATCTGTAAATGGAACAAGAAGCTTGTGTGCATTGTGAATGAGTTCAATAAACTCCAATTCCAAACTCCTTTGTCATCTTTTTTTAATATTAATTAAAATCAATATAAAAAAATTCTGAAAAATATTTTGCTATAATTTTTTTCTATTACTATAACAATTATCCTTATTTTTTGTTTTTTTTCTTTTCTCTTCAATTATTACCGACATATATGATTTTTAAAAAGTTTTCTTTATGTGTGTCTATGTTTTATGTCTATATGTTTATTATTAGTCATATTATTTTGAAAAATGGTGTCACTCCTTTGATCAGACTTCTGTATGAGTGACACCATCCATACTAATCATTAAGTTATTAAAATAAGAAATAACATATCATTTTACTTATTATTATAGTAATTATCATTACTTATAATTTTTTTTTTGTTAATATTATTATTGTCATAAATTATTACTATTGCTTATTATTTTATAATTATTGTTATTATTATTTATCTTATTATAGTAAAAATGATTTTAAAATGGAAAATAAATAGCTTGTTGTTGTTGCTGTTGTTGTTGTTGTTATAAAACGTATTTAATTTACGTTTTGATATACATATTTATGTATTTACGTTTTAAATAAAAGCAGGCAGTAAAGTAAAAATTTTTTTTTTCTTAGTTTAATAAATTTATAGTAATAGTTTATAAAAACATTTTTATATAATATATAAATATTTTTATACTTTATAATAAAAAACTATTCGAAATTTATGAGAAATGAATTTTACTAAAAAGTTGCCAAAAAAATCCCTAAAATCGCTTGGAAAATCCCTAAAATCGCTTGGAAAATCCCAATTCTCAAGAAGTTTTTTCCAAGAGACATTTTTGCAGTTATGCGATCGCATTGTTATACCTATAAACGGCAACTTTATTTCATGTTTTACGCAATTAATGAATTAGAATTTTTTGTTATTTTTCTATTAGTTTTTAATTTTCAATAACTTATAGAATTATTAAATTTTAATTTGGCAAACTTTATTTGGAGAATGGGATTTTTTCACCTTTAAATTGGGAACTTTAATTATTTCTCCATTAGTAGGTTCACTACTGATGGAGAAACATCCTGTTGAAGAAAATTAGATTAGGTGTTTTTTTTACTAATTTATTATTGTTCTTTTCTTTAAGAGCATATATATAATTTAGATTTAAAAAAATAAATTTTATTTTGAAATTTAAAAAAAATTTTAAATTTAGTATTTTTAATTTATTACATAGAACACATTAATCATCAGACATTTTAAAAAAATGTTGTTTTATGACACACCTATATATATATATATATATATATATATATATATATATATATATATATATATATATATATATATATATATATATATATATATATATATATATATATATATATATATATATATATATATATATATATATATATATACATATATATACACACAAATAGCATTGCGTACTAAGGTACAACTTAATTTCTCCGCGCAGCGGTCTTGCTTGTCAAGGTTTTTGTACCACGATTAACAGAAAAAAGAAAAAAAAAAAAAAATGAGTAGCCTCCTCGACTGTAGTGGCCCTCTCGGGCCATTGGGAGATCAATTATTTAAAAAAAAAATTAAAAAAGATAAGCAATCTGACGTCATTCTGAAATAGCCTAATGCTGGGGGCTTCAGTACATACATCGATTGACAAATAGTCTTACTCGCAGTGGAGTGCTGCTACATCGACTGAGGCTTTGGGGCAACAATGCTTCATTCATCATTCTTTGTTTTTTTTCTTCTTTTTCTAAAAAAGCCGTATGAGTTTAAAAATACTCTTTAGTAAGTGTGTGTGTATATATATATATATATATATATATATATATATATATATATATATATATATATATATATATATATATATATATATATATAATTAGATGATAGTTACTATTTGGGAGTTGTTTTGTGATGGTGATTTACAGTACACTTATTATTTTAGAAAATCTCTTATGCTTTAAAGCTTTAGAGTGATATTTTTGTTCATCTGTTTAAATTGTTTTTTCTTACCAGACCAAATGAATAAAAATATAAAAATTTTTTTCTGTATAAATAAAAAGAAATTTTTTTTTTACTTCCATCATAAAATTGCACCCATAGTGGCTGCTCAATGTTTTACACAGTCTTTAAATATAAGCTATTGAAATACACTTTGAATGGAAGGACATAAACTGCTACGTTGTTAAATTGGTACAGTGTTATTTATTACAGTCTCATAATCTATATGGACTAAAAACAACAATGTTGTCTGCACATTCTTTTTCCTCTGCTTTTTTGTAGAATACTATTTTTACAAGTTTCTTAAATGTACTTTTAATACTGGTCATAAAGAGAAAAGTTTTAAATGAAATGTTTCAAAATATGTTTGAAAAACTTTACTTATTTTTAAAGTGCTTTTATTTTCTTGTGGATTTTTTTTTATTTAAGATTTTTTTTAATAAAATTTATATATTTCTAATGTTAGTTTCTAATGTCACATGCCACAGTTGGCAATTATCTTTATTCAAGTAGTTGTAATTTATTTAAGAACATCACCATAAGTACATCACCACCACCAAGTATCATTGGAATTGCTTCTGCCTGAATATCTGTTGCAAGCCTAATAAACAAAATAAAAAATGCTTTTTTTCTAAAACTATACAAAATTTACAAACATTATAATTAACAATGTCATAAAGTACATATCATAAATTATAACATTAACATAAATGTAAAAAGTGAAAATGAACATACCCCCATCCCATTTCATCAACACCTTTCAACAACTCGGGTAACATTCCAAACTCTAAATAAATAAAAAAAAAAGTTAAATGCTGATTTAAATGACAGCTATTCTATCAAAATGTTTATAGCAGACTAAGCTTGATTGCAGACACAAAAAGTTAATACTAAAAAACCAGCTATAGGAAAATGCTATGGAAACAAATCCTCAGAATAAACTTAAATGACAAAAAAAGATAAAAGGCAGAAAATACAGACAATGTAAAGTGAATAAGGCATTATGTGGCTATGTAAAATGTAGGAACAAACTATCATTTTTATAGCTCATAAGAAATGGGTTTACAAGAGCAGTGCAACTAACAAAGTGTTCTTGTTGGTTTAAGTGCATAAAATGTACTTTTTTAAAATAAGTTTTGTTGAGTATAATAAGAAAAGAAGTTATAAAAGAAAATGAAATAAAGAAAAAGTAAAATGTGTTAGTGAATTTTGTTGCTGATATAACTACATTAAGAAGATATAATTGAATTTCCTGATGGAGTAAAAAACATTAAAGCCAAAAGTAAGTTGTTTCTGTTCCAAATTTAGATAACTACCTTTAACTCTAACAGCAAAGTTATACACCACATTTATTAAAAATGTTATGATGTATTGCACTGAAACATAGAAAACAAAGGTTGACAATGAATATGGAACCAACAAAGAAAATGACTATTAGGGGAATGATAGTAAGACATTTAATAAGGTGAAACAATAACAAAATTGATAAGGTGCATGAAGGAAGATTATACTAGTTTAAATATGAAGAGCATATACAAAATACAGTTGGCAGTTTACTTTTATTATTTACTTTTTATAATAGATTCTTTTTTTTTTGATTGAGGATCGAAATAATTCAAAAGTTGTGATTCATTATTAAGCCCTAGCTATGTTTTTATCAAACTCACCTTGCACCTAATATATATATATATATATATCAGGCTTTCCCAGGAAAGGCGTGCGGTCGCACGCCTTGTTTGTCCACGCATAGAATAAATTTTTCTGACTAACTGACCACGTTTTATTATTATGCATTTCAAGAATTCGCGCCAAAACAAAGCTGAACGAAAATACTGCAAAAATGCAAGCAATCTTAAAGTAAATAACAGAAATCTGTTTGTGCTTTAAAATTAAAAAATTAATGCATATTATTAAAAAAAAAAATTACCTATATTTTATATTTTAATTTTTTTAGGTTGGTAGTTATTTAAGCTCTGAAAAATCAAATCAATAAGAAAAATCAAATCAAAAAGAAAAAGATTAATGTTTAAAGAAACTAAAAGGACCTTTTAATGTACAATTTGTTTATGACTTTTATCCGTAAGTAATACTTTAAAATTCACGCTAGAACTATAAACAGTTTTTAAATGTTTTGTAAATACATTTAAATGTTTAAATGTATTGATTTTAATGTTTAAATGTATTGATACGCAAGAAAACACTAAACCGATTGCTATTTATTAGTAAAATATGTTTGTTTTTTTTTTAAATGAAAGAAAATTTTATTGTCAAATGATTGAGTTGCTTATTTTGCAATCATTAATTGACATTGTGAACGAGTGTTAATATATAATGATGTCCCGAAGGAACTGTTTTTGTAACAATGACAACAGAAGCAATGCAATTATTTTTTTAACTACTTTTGTAATTACAAAATTATGCAATTGAATAATTTCAACGTAATAAAAGGTGAGCATTGACTCAGTATAATCAGTTTTAAATAAGTCGAGAAAGAACTTTTTTCACATTAAAATTTTGTTATGTTTAAAATCTCAAATAATATATTTAATAATTGAAACAGCAATTTATTTTCTTGTCTAAGTATTGGGGAATAAAGTTATCGCCTTTGCATAAACCTTCGTAAAAACTAAATTAAATGATAAAGTTTAACCAAATTTGTCTAGCGTAAATAATGAATCAGTTTTTTAATACATTGTCTGATAAAGTTCGTGAATAAATTACGTATCAAGTCTTTTTATTTTCGTGAAAACTTTATGACTTATTGTCATCTTTGCCTTGACTTGTATCAAATTTCGTAGCTGAAAATAGCAACCCTAATAAAAGAAAACAAAAACAGTATAAAAATTTTGAAAAAAATTTTCAAGACTTATTTTATTTTTTTGTTACAAGAATTTTTTTTTTTTAATTTTTTTTTATTATTAAAATATTTTTCTTACATAAAATTTCAATTTTATACTTTGTTTAGACTTCGTTTCATTTTTTAATATAATTTTTTATTTTCTGTGGATAATTTCCGCTTTCTTACGAAATAATGCCGCGGTCACGTTTTCTGAAAAATTTATTCTATGCGTGGACAAACAAGGCGTGGGACCGCACGCCTTTCCTGGAAAAGGCTGATATATATATATATATATATATATATATATATATATATATATATATATATATATATATATATATATATATATATATATATATATATATATATATATATATATATACACATATATATATATATATATATAAATAATAATGCATTTAATATATATATATATATACATATATACATATATATATATATATATATATATATATATATATATATATATATATATAAATATATATATATATATATATATATATATATATATATATATATATATATATATATATATATATATAATATATATATATATATATATATATATATATATATATATATATACATACATATAAGGCTTATTTCTATTTTCTAGGCAAATATCTCGTATTTTTCTATCGTCTCTTGGCGTTGTTAGCCGTTTTCTACCACAATGTCCTGTTCGTTGAGGAGTATAATCAGCATTTTTGTCCAGATTTTTTTTTATTCGGTTGACTGTTGCCACTGAAACCTTTGTCATTGATGCTATACACCTTTGAGAATATGAAAGTATTCTTCAATAATGCTCCAACTTCTCTTTTTTTTGACGGTGAAACATCTTTTGCCTTTCCCATATTGAAAAAAAACATGTGATTCTAGTAAACCGTTATAGAAGTCAAATTATATGTAAAAATATTGATTTAATCATGTTTAACTGTAAAAAATAGACACATAAATAGAATTCAATAACAAAACAATAAAAAAATCTTTAATAAAAAAATCTTTTTTAAAAAAAATTTAAAAAGAGAGCAATACACAAACAGCACTTCACGCGACAACAACACAGGTATAACTGCCAAAATTGTCAAAATTTGGGAAAAACCCTATAACTTCATAATGAGATGAAATGCAATGTTGCCAAACTCTCAGATTAAAGTAAAAGGTACAAACATACTATTTGTAAAATAAATAAAAATTATTTTGTTAAAATGTTTTGTTAATTTTGAACTTTATTCACAAAGTTTTTAAAATTTGGTCGTAATTCTAATAATATGAGCACCCACTGTATATATATATATATATATATATACATATATATATATATATATATATATATATATATATATATATATATATATATATATATATATATATATATATATATATATATATATATATATATATATATATATATATATATATATTATATGGTTCAACCCTCCTTTCAGCAAAAATGTTAGCACTTATGTAGAGAAAAGTTTTTTAACCTTAATCAACAAACACTTCCCAAAAAATCACAGACTCCACAAAATTTTAAACAGAAACACGATAAAAATAAGTTACAGCTGTATCTTTTTTAAATGCACACAATCAACAAATTATGAACAACAACAAAACTCCACCAAAAAACAACTGCAATTGCATTAATAAAAATACCTGCCCTTTATCAAACCAATGCTTAACGAAAAACATTGTATACCAAGCCAATATAAGTTCCAATAATCCTACTAACACTCCTGTCAACAAATCCTACATCGGTATAAGTGAAACACCATTCAAAACTAGATATGCAAACCATATAAAATCATTTAACATTCTAAAATACAAAAATGACACCGAATTATCAAAAGAATTTTGGAAATTAAAGATGCTAACTTAAACCCAGTTGTCAAATGGAAAATAATTAAGCAGTGCAATGCTTACAACCCAACCACAAAGTCCTGCAAACTATGCACATACGAAAAATATGAAATTCTGTTTTCCAAAAATAAAAATCTACTAAACAAAAAAAGTGAAATGGTATTCATATGTAGGCATTTTCAAATAATCAAAACTCTTTATATATATATATATATATATATATATATATATATATATATATATATATATATATATATATATATATATATATATATATATATATATATATATATATATATATATATATATATATATAGTACATATATATATATATATATATATATATATATATATATATATATATATATATATAATTATATATATCATATATATATATATATATATATATATATATATATATATAGTATATATATATAGATATATATATATATATATATATATATATATATATATATATATATATAGTATATATAACAAATATATATATATATATATATATAGTATATATAGTATAATAGATATATATATATATATATATATAACTAACAAATATATATATATAAATATATATATATAAATATATATATATAAATATATATATATATATATATAACAAATATATATATATAAATATAATATATATAAATATATATATATATATAGTATAACAAATATATATGTATATATATATATAAATATATATATATATATATATATATATATATATATATATATATATATATATATATATATATATATATATATATATATAATATATATATATATATATAAGAAATTCATAACAAATTCATAACGAAAAAGAAATAATATAAGCTCCAAAATGAAAATAAAAACTTAAACTCGAAGCGAAACTTTTAGTTACGTTTTTAATTACGTTAAAATAAACGTTATTAAAACTTTTTAAGCGTTATTAAAGTTTCTCAAACGTAAAACGTTTTTAAATAGTAACAAATTAGTAACAAATTACTACTAATGATTGGTTTAATAAAAGGACAAATTTTATTAAATTTATTAAAAAGTGTTTTATATAATATTTTTAAATTGTATAAACATTTATTTTGTTAAAAAAGTAGCAAAAAAAATAGTTTAAAAAAATAACGCAGTCTTTTTAAAATAGTAGTTTTTACTAATTTCATGCTCTAATTAGTGAGTCTAATTAGAAAAAAAGGTTTTGAACTTTTTTATTCGTAAAAATAGAAAAAAAAATAAATAAATAAATAAAATACGCCTGCGATTTACTGCCAACAATCTTTTTAATTTAATTTTAATTTGAGCATTACAACTTTATTAACTAGCGCTTCACATAACGAATTTAAAAATTATTATAAAAGATTTATGCGCAACTTATACTCATTTCTAAAGAAGTTGAAAAAAAAAAAAAAAAAAAAAAATTTTTTTACAAAAAATAAAATGTTCATTTCAAACATTTTTAAAAATCATAAGTTTAATCATAAAAATTATTTGTATGAACATTACAAAAAGCTTCAAAACTTTTTCATTAAATCAACAAAATACATGCTTATATAAGTAAATAAAGTTATTTTATATTCTTGTGTAATTCACATAAAATGTGTAAAAGTTAGTAGTCACAGAAGCTTTCAAACTTATTCAAAATTAAAGTAACTTAAAAAAATTCTTTCTAAAAATAACGATTCAAAAATGTTTTAGGAAGACATAAGAAAATAGTTTTAAACGTTTAAATTTATCATAAAAAATAAATGCCTACATAAAAACTACTTATTTATAACGTTTTTTATTAATTTACACAAGCGTTTATGTAACAATAACTATAATTAATTTTATAGTTTTATTTAAAGCTTTTGCGTAAAATAAAAAACTTTTGAAAAGATCAACGATTAAAAGATATTTATAACGTAACACTTTTTTTAGTGCATTCATATTGTTAAAACATCAAAATAGCTCTGGTCAAGTTTTAAAGAAATAAAAATATTAGCTTGGTCAGTTACAGAGTGCGATCGCACGCCATTCCTGTCCAAGCCTATATATATATATATATATATATATATATATATATATATATATATATATATATATATATATATATATATATATATATGTATATATATATATATATATATATATATATATATATATATATATATATATATAATATATATATATATATATATATATATATATATATATATATATATATATATATATATATATATATATATATATACAAAATATGGTTGGCAGTTTACTTTTATAATATACTTTTTATAATTCTATTTTTTTTGATTGAGGATCGAAGTAATTCAAAAGTTGTGATTCATTATTAAGCCCTAGCTATGTTTTTATCAAACTCACCTTGCACCTAATATATATATATATATATATATATATATATATTAGGTGCAAGGTGAGTTTGATAAAAACATAGCTAGGGCTTAATAATGAATCACAACTTTTGAATTACTTCGATCCTCAATCAAAAAAAATAGAATTATAAAAAGTATATTATAAAAGTAAACTGCCAACCATATTTTGTATATACTCTTCATATTTAAACTAGTATAATCTTCCTTCATGCACCTTATCAATTTTCTTATTGTTTCACTTTATTAAATGACTTACTATCATTCCCCTAATAGTCATTTTCTTTGTTGGTTCCATATTCATTTTCAACCTTTATTTTCTATGTTTCAGTGCAATACATCATAACACTTTTAATAAATGTGGTGTATAACTTTACTGTTAGAGGTGAAGGTAGTTATCTAAATTAGGAACAGAAACAACTTACTTTTGGCTTTAATGTTTTTTACTCCATCAGGAAATTCAATTATATCTTCTTAATGTAGTTATATCAGCAACAAAATTCACTAACACATTTTACTTTTTCTTTATTTCATTTTCTTTTATAACTTCTTTTCTTATTATACTCAACAAAACTTATTTTAAAAAAGTACATTTTATGCACTTAAACCAACAAGAATACTTTATATAATAATACTGATCTATTTAGTAAACGATTTACTTAATACTGATCACTCTCAAACGAACAAGAGACTTTGTATCATAATTTGGTACAATAAAACAACATATATATTTATATATATATATATATATATATATATATATATATATATATATATATATATATATATATATATATATATATATATATATATATATATATATATATATATATATATATATATATATATATGAATATATATATATGATATATATATATATATATATATATATATATATATATATATATATATATTATGTATGTATATATATATATATATATATATATATATATATATATATATATATATATATATATATATATATATATATATATATATATATATATATATATATATATATATATATATGAATATATATATATATAAACAACCCTCAGAATTAGAAAAATTGAGGTCGGCAATAATTTGCCGACCTTAATCTTTTAGAGGTCGGTATCAAGTTGGCAAAAAAAAAATTGAAACAAAGGTCTTACCATAAAACATCAAAATGAGGTCAGCAATTTTTTGCCAACCGCAAAAACTTTTAGGTCGGCAGTTAGGCTGGCATTGACAAATGCCGACCCTAATTCCAAGGGTTGTATAAATATATATGTATTTTTTTCAATTATAGTTTTTTGGTATTTCTTGGACATATACTTTGTTAGGCTCCTAAAACCCTAGTCTGGTCAATATATAAAACATATTGTTTTTAATTTTTTTCTTTTTTTGAATAAAATGAACTTAGTTTTATAGAGATATAAAGTTCAAAAAATATTATTTCGGACATTTTTTTAATGTTATTTACCTCCTCAAGGACAAGAAGGCCACTAAAGTTGAGGAGACCATTGTATTGTGGTTTTAAGCCTCTCTTAACTACTTAGCTCAGAAACACAAACCTTAATGAACAAGTTGAAATCAGTACTACCAGGGAAATAGTAGGGATTAAACTTGGAAATGAAGCAAGAGCTACCACTACACCACAACCACATTATTAAATTCTGCTTTGTAGCCCTCAGAGATCATTGACCAACTATTTTTGAAACTATTATAGTGTCTAAAATAGTTCAAATAAAATATTCCAGATAGTTCACCTTTTTTGTCATTGTTAGTTTTGTGTCCTGATTTTTTCATTTTAAAATACAACCACCTTAAATAAAGACAATATAAAATAATATAAAATTTAGCTGATATTAATGCGAAATAATAGATTTTAACTAACTAATATGGTTTAGTTTTAGAAAAGATGTATACTTTAAAGATGTTGGCATATAAATATCCTATTGATTTGCTAAAAAGTATAACATGTAAAGGCCAGCTGAGAGAATCCTGCCTGGAAAGGAAATGTGAAGTATGAAGTTTTTTTTCATTCTCTAAATTCATTACAAAGAAATAGTTTGCAAAGAATTTGAGAATAAAAAAGTAACGTTTCCTCAATGGTCTAAATAAAGAGTTGAACTTGGGGTACTCTTGAGTCCTTAATACAAGGGTGGTGGGAGGTGGGGGGGGAATATAAGAGGGGGAGGAGGAATTTTTGTTCAGATCTAATATATGGGTGTGGGAAGAGCTAATAAACGGAAGAAGTTAATTAAGAGGAGGGAAGAGGGGGAATTTTAAATGTTACATTATAAGTATTTTTTATAAAAAATTTCAGTTTATAAATCCAAACTTATATTTTTTTTACAAAACACGCCTAAAACTATTTAAATCTAGCATGCCTTGCGGTCAAATGCGCATTTTCTAACAGCTGCTATATAATAATTTCAATAGGATTTAATATGTTGATATAAGTTTTATGCTTTAATGAGAAATTAATTAAAATTTCATTTTCGATAAATCAAGATTTATTTGTTTGATCATTTTTAAAGCCCGTTAACACTGAAAAATTTTGTTATCATTGACTGAAATAATTATTTTCTAATTTTTTAGGCCAATTTTCACTAATTTTTTTTTTCTTTTTTAATATTAAGCAAAAATAAATAAATAGGAGTGGAGAGGGGGGGGGGGGGGAGTGGAGGGTCTTAAGAGGAGAAGGGTCTTCTGTAAAAGAAGAGTTATCATTAACCAAAAAACAACTATTTTTGCATTTTATTAACATGCTGAAAAAGGTTATGAGACATGTATGCAATATAAAAGATCAGTACAAAGCTACATCGGAAATAAAAAATAACTTAAGGCCTAGGGATATTTTTATTTATTGTGATTTTTCAGAAAAAAATAATTGCAAATACTAAGAAAAAATTCAATCACTCCACTTTGGCGGATCAAGAAATTAATTGTCCATACAGTTGTGGTGTACAGTTGCAGTACTTCTGAAAACTAAATAAAAGGCAAAATCTTTAATTTTATAACATTTTTAGATAACAAGCATGACTTAGCAAAGGTCTATCCACTTTTAAAGTTATGTTATGACTTCAAAATAAAATCTGCCTATCATTGAAAATGCTCATTTCTTTAGCGATAGTACTGCTCAAAAGTACCAAGGCCAAAGTAAATGTAAAAAGTTGACAAGACTAAGTTACTACGGTGTTACGTAAAATGCTTTTGCAAAATACTTCTAATGGTTGTTATATAAATGACCAACTTTTATTTAAACTGCTGTTTATTTTGAAAAATGAAACTAAATTATTAAAATGAAAAAAAAAAAAAAATTATTTTAAAATTGTATAAACAATTTTTTTTTTAAAGTAACAAAAAAAAATATTTTTTTTATAAAGAAATTACTATTTTAAAAAATAGTCTTTTTAAATTAGTAATTTTTAGTCATTACATAATGTTTTTGACTTGACTTAATAATGTAAGTCAAGTCAAAAAAAAAAGCTTTTAAACAATTCTTCATAAAAATAGAAAGAAAAAATAATAAAGCAATTAAACCATTCCATTGCAACAGGAAGATTTTAATTAAACTTAATCATAGTTTATAGTATTTAAAAAAAGTAATCTTTTGAAAGATTTTCAGAGAGACATAAAAAAATAGTTTCAAATCTTTGAATTTATCATAAAAAATGACATGCCTACCAAAGAAAATTTACATATTTAATTTACACAAAATGCATTTATTTTTAACGATTTATTATAATTATTTTTTTTTTTAATTAAAGCATAAAATCAAAATGTTTGAAAAGATCAACGGTTAATTTTTATTCATAACATTTTTTATTGCATTTAAATTGGTAAAACAAAATTTTTCAAATTGTAGAAAAAAAATATAAACGTGGTCAGTTACAGAGTGCGATCGCATGCCATTTTCGTCCAAGCCTGCATATAGCAATTAAAGTGATACTACTTATAATGTCACATCTGCGGTAAATTTGTGAGGTCTATAAATTATGCCAAAAGTTTTAAATTTTTATTTTGTTAACTGACATTTAACAAGTTGGTTTAAACCTTACAAGTGATTAAATATACTCAAAACAAAAACAAAAAAATTTTGCTTTGAAAAATTTAATATTAAACTTTTATAAAAAAAACTATTAAAAATGCTACTTTTCAGGAGACAGATCCTCCTAACTTATATGCTAAAGCCTATATAGTACTGCAAGGTTTACAATTGTTTAAACAACCTTAATAACTTTGAATATCTCATTTTGAGTCTATCAGTTTTCTCTAAGAAAATTAAAATTTCAATTTTATTCAATCAATTATCTTATTCTAATGCCGACTTGTTATTAAAACTTGCTTTATTTTGAATTAGATAGAAGTGATAGAAGTCATTATCAAGCATTTTTATTGTTTTGTCTCCACATTAAAAAAAAAAAAAACTTTTTATGTGAAGCACAGGGTCATTTAAAAATAAATATTATAGAGTTTAGGGAGAATCACCATTATTTAGGAGTAGCACAGCTGACTACTTGTTATATATATATATATATATATATATATATATATATATATATATATATATATATATATATATATATATATATGTATATTATATATATATATATATATATATATATATATATATATATATATATATATATATATTATATGTATGTATATATATATATATATATATATATATATATATATATATATATATATATATATATATATATATATATATATATATATATATATGTATATATATATATATATATATATATATATATATATATATATATATATATATATATATATATACATACATATATATATATATATATATATATATATATATATATATATATATATATATATATATATATATATATACATATATATATATATACATATATATATATATATATATATATATAAATATAATATAAATAAATATAAATATTATATATATATATATATATATATATATATATATATATATATATATATATATATATATATATATATATATATATATATATATATATATATATATATATATATATATATATATATATATATATATTAATTTATAAAAATAAAGAAAACAACTTTTTATGGTACTAATAGTTTCATGCCTAAAGGCAATCATCAGCCATGTAATACAAATCAAGAAACAAAAAAAACCGTTAAAATATAAAGTTACAGTGGAGTGTGCTCCGTCGTCAAAACAAAACAAAAACAAAAAACTAAAAACGGCTGCCTAATCACCCGTATCGAAATTCGAAAGGAGAAACTTGCTTTTATGTCTACATTTAGATACTAATTCATTCCTCTTATTTAATAAGTTATCATAGGTGTACGATATTATGAAATACTTTTCGTATAGACATAAGTTGCATCGTTTT